CGTGCCCCACCCGCCCCCCCCCGCAGCAGCCCCGGCCTCGGCCGCCTCCGGGCTGCGAGGAGGAGGGCGCAGACGCCCTGAGGCTCCGCGGGACGGCGCCGCTGGGCGGGAAGCGGGGACTCGCCGCACTTACTCGGGGAGACGGGGCGGGCAAACGGCTTCAGTTCTACCTTGAGCTTCACTGGTTTTTTTACTACCCTCCCTTGAAACAGATAAAATATCTGCAGAGTAACGTAGCAGTCTGTGCTAAATAGGACACGGCACGCAAAGAACAGGTAATTAATTAAATACTATTTTTAAAGGATTGCCCTTCCCCACACTTGGCACAGGGAGTTGCTTAGCCATTTCCTAATTTTGAGTACACTTAGCAGTGCTATTCTGGAAAATTACTCACAAACAGTATTTAAGACACGTGGTTGCCTTTTCTCTATATTTTATTGGTTCAGAGCATAAATGTGAGTTTTACAAAGTCATTGCATTTCGGGCGAGGAAGCTCAAGCAGTGTTCAGCAGCACTAGACATTAATCTCATGGACAGAACTTGCTCAGGCTTCTTGGAAAAATTCCGTCCTTCATCTAGAATACATACCAGAGCTAGTTAGTTGCTATGTTGCCTGAGGGGGAAAAAAAAAAAGAAAAAGTAAAGTAACACTAAGGATTTGCAAACAGCCTTGAAAATAGATTAAACACTCAACTTTTTTTTAAAAAAAGCACTATTGACATAATAATTTGCACTTCACTTGTAGTTAATTGGGTAAGTAAAGACTGCACTTTTCTTTAGAGATGAGCACATTGCCAGTGGTCCAACAAAAGTATGTATGTGGATGAAGTAGTGCTGAAAGTGTCACAATCGTGAATGCAAGAAAGGTGCCAGCTCGGCAGTTCTGGAGCCTGCCCTTTTCTGTCCCAAGGTAAGTATGTTCACGGTAGCATCATCTCTTTATGCTGTTCCGCAAAGGTTAAATCAAGTCAGAAAGGTTAGTGAGCATAACGGTAACACTTCCCTGAGAAATCAAACTGTTTTGGAACAGTTTGTTTGTTCCAAAACAAAAGTCCGCCCCTCGAAGACCACTGCCTAGCACAAGGCCTTGGGAGACCAGTTGTAGCTGTGTATCATGGACACTCCTTTGGAAAGGTGGCATAAGCAGAAAAAGTCACAACTGCAGTAAGTCATCTCAATCATCTACTCAAGGAAGGTATTTAAGACTAAATAGGGTCAAATTCTCAACACTTAGTGAATGTTTACAGAATTCTTGTTCCCTTTGAAGTCAGTACAATGTATTCAGTAGTAGAGTTCAAGTTACACGTGCTTTCCACAATTCGTTAAACATGTTAATTCCTCAGATGAGGAAAATGCTTGTATCCTGCTCAAAACTTACAACTTTGTTTCTCAAACTGAAGGAACAATATGTACTGAATATGTGCTCAGAGGAATTTATGTAACATTTGTTCACACCAGAAGCTTAGTGCTGATGTGCTCTGCTGAAGACAGTAAAAAGTTTTTGAAGCAACTGCAAAACATCCTAGAACACTAAAAATCCTCTTCAGTATGTTTTGCATTCCAACCTATGCCCTTTCTTTAAACTTCTAGATGGCAAGAATAACATTATGCAACATAAAAGCTTCATTTATGTATCTCTTGAAGATTAGAATCTTTCTAAAGAAAAATGATTTTGAAATCTTACATTATATTGATCACTTCGGTATAGTTCAAGAATTCTAAAGAGCCACTAGTCAAGCAAGCTGGAAAAAATCATTTAGGAAAAAGGCAATTTACCAGATTATAAAAGCTGGATACATTCTACACATGTAGACCAGCGGCAAGTTGTTGGTACAAGTGTGCACCATTTGTATAGTAATTGCTAGTCTGCAACCAAAAATAGATCCAGGAACTGTAATAAATCACCATTTTTAAGCAGTGTAAGTATGCCTGCTATTTCCTTTTAACAAATGGAGAATGCAAATGTATTTAAAATGTTATTTGGATTCAGATACATGCCACTAACTTCTGTGAGAACTGAAGGACTTGCAGAAGTGATTTTAGGACTGCTGAGCATCTAGAACCAGTTCAGTTCAAGGGGATCTGCAAGATAATGTTTAAACGGCTGGTCCTAAAGCAGCAAATTTGTCTGCCAGAAGCAGTCTGAAAAAAACCCACAACAAAACAAACCAAAACCAACAAATAATAAGGTGTATCAAGAATGTAACTCTAGCTTTCTGTTGCTTAAGGTAAAGAGACAATACATCCTTTCACCTAAATACACAGTTTATTAGATGAAGATGTAAAAAGCATGAACTTCAGAAGCCACTTGTCATCCATGTGTTTCCCATTCATTCCTTAGGGCACCCATTTGGGTGTCTCAACCATTACTCTGCTTTGTAGACAAAAACCATTCTTTCCTTAGGTTTGCTAATTTTCATACCAATTGTGAGTTACTGCCAAACCGCAGTAATTTGAAAATCAAGAACTATTGCTAATACAATAGCCAACAAACATTTCTGTCAAGTCCTTCAATATTCAGTGTTGAAGGAAGCTGGACAAAGAATATTTGCTATAGTAATTCATGATATTTGTGCCTCATGTTACTTAAGAGTCATAGCTTTCACATAACACTGATTTAAAACAACAACAACAAAAAAGCAAATGTTAACAGCTTAAGTGAGTAGATAATTCTTAATCAAATTGGAGATTGTGTCTCATTATCTTTACTGGCATTGCTAAGAAGTTACTTTGGAAGGGTATTTCATGACACTAAACGTCTGGAAAAATGGTTCCTTATGAAGCTGAAAGTCATTGAAATAATATACTTAGATTTAAGCAATCACTACAGGAATAGAGGATATTTCAGGAGAAATCTAAAGAACAGTCAAGTTTAGGAACAAGCAAAGCCATACAAAAACCCTTGTGGTTTGCCACTGAAGTTAAGCAAAGCTTTGCAGATGCAACTCAGCTGGACACCCTTCCACAACACATGTATCAAAAATAGAGTGGAAATGCCAACTGTATAAAAACTACGCAGAATATTTCATAAAAAATACTCCAAATACTTTTCATTACGTAACTTTTATTTGAGACACACATTGTTGTAAAAAAGTTCACATGGAATAATAAAACCATTGGAATATGAAGTCTTTTTTAGGGGTTGGGTTTGGTTTTTTTGTCTATACACATCAATACACAATTAATGATTAGGTTTACAAGTTAACCACATGACAAGTTCACTTTTATCTGCAGGAGCTTTTCACATTACACCTTTATACCAGAGATAAAATGTGCTTAAACACACACAGTAGAACACTTCTATTTCAAAATTAAGCATTTTCTCAAGGACTATACTTTTTATTCTGAATTTAGTAGCTATATAGCATTAAAATAACTGTAATTAAAGTTTTATTTGCAAAAATGTTCGTAAGGCCATAGGAATGCACTAAAATACTTAAATTCACCAGAAACAAGAAAAATCAATGGAAATCCTGCTTTTGTGAAAGAAAGAAATACAAGTTTTATTTATAAGAACGAGAATGGCATAAGCAGTTCAGTGAATGGAAGAGAAAAAAGACCTATTATCCCCTACAGACCAATCCTTAAGTTTAACATTACAAAGTTTCAGTTACATTAATAGATAACCAAATAACAGATGCATTTTCACAAATAACACATTTATGCATTTTACATATTATTCACGTACTTTCAAATCATTATCCATTCACAATATTTTAATGTGATATGTATATTCAAGACTCCTTTATTCACTTGTGAAAGTGATCCACTTAATTCACTTGACTTTAGCAGACTAGTGTGGGAAAAGTACTTACAATGGGAAATACTTTCTGTAAAAAGAACTACAGGTCTGAAAAGTCAATTAGCATTTTTGAGACTGTCCCCCAACTAGAAAAGTGAGCTGCGTTAAGTTTCATGAGTGGTTTAAGCTTTAGCAATAATAGAACTTCCAGACAGTAAGTAAATCAAATATTCTGTATACACTCAACAAAAACTTCTTGTGCATGTTTTGCTGAGCACAGACTGAAAGCTAAAATTGCAAAGCACTGAGACCAGTTTGGGTTTTGTTTGGCTTTTTTTTTTTTTTTTAAACCATTTAGAAAAATATTGGTCAAGATATAGTGCACAGACATGGGTCTGAGGGAAAGATTTCATAAAATTCAATAGCATAAACAGCATTTTTGTTTTATGGAAATCCACCAAAAAATGTCTGCCTTTCCTGAAAGGTTAATGGCAATTTCTGGAACAAAACAGAAATACATTTGCTGCTTAATGAATAATAATTATATGACTTTTATTCTAATGGACATTAGAATACTAACTAGTTCACTGAGGTATGGTTAAGAGTCCTTCAAAATTTAGATTATATAGTCTTGAGCAAAGTAGCAACAGAGACTGCACAAAACAATCATAGTGATATTAGAAAAGCCTGTAGTACCCAGCATCTGATGCGTAGGCAGAACATACCATTTATCATCACCCGCTTGTCTAAAGGAAAATATAGCTAAAAATTCCCAGTAAAACATACAGCTGATTTGCACGCTAAGATACAGCACATTTTTCAATGTCTGACAAGGCAGACTGTACACAGGAAGAGGTCTATACTGACCAAAAGTTAGCACACCGATAAAGTGCAGCCACTCAGCCATTTAATACTGCTGGAGAAGAGGGGTGGGGGCAAAACAACAAAGAAAAAGAGAGAAATCTGCATTTTACCTTATCCATAAGACCACATGAAATTAGAATTCTTCAGTTTCAGCAGGGGACAACAAAATTGCATTAAATTCTTCTACAAATAGAAAAAGATGAACTTTACATGAACATTAAGCAAAGTGAAATATTTACTGCATTATTTTATCATGCATAAAGTGAATTTCCTATGGTCTTACCTCACATTTATGTACAGTTTAGCACAGCTAAATGTAAGAAAATAGCAAGTTTTTTTCTCCCCCCCGCCCCCATACAGAGCAGATACCCCAATTTGCTGCTGCTTCAAGAAGCACTTCATAGACTCTACTACTTACAGGCTCTTTCAAAGGGAAGTTCATGGAGACTAATATTGAATGAACATTAACCACACAGCGAAGACAGGAAAAACAATACAAAGCATTCTGTAAACGGTGCCAAACACAGAACATGTCAGTTTTGGTTTGCAGACAACCCCTGAGATAAAAATCAAAGTATTACGACACCAAATAAGTCAGAGGTAAATTACTGAAAATAAACAACATTCATAATTGGTGTCACAACACTTTCTGTATAGAAGCACTTTTTTTAACCATACAGAAAACATAACTGCTTTAGCCCGTCCAAGAAAAACATCAAGGGTAGACAACAGAGCAGTTAGGGTTGCTTTGTTTTTTCACTAAACCTTGTTGCCATGAAGATTTTTCTGTTTTAGTGCAGCAACAGCAGTTTATGAGATTCACCATCTAGTAACAATAACTATTTCTATTAAACTACACGTGGGGACAGGTTCATAACCACTTAAAACTTAATGGAAACAGCTACTAATGTTAAACCTTTTAAAATCAAAAGTCTTTAAATCTAACACTATTGGCCCGTTCACTTTCAAAATATTTACAACAGACCCAGAGATGACAAATTCAGTACCTGACACCACAAAATGAAGCGGTTATCTGTGGTAACCACCAACTCACTGTTTACGACTCTAGACAATGTAGTGAAGCAAAAGCAAGCACGTCAGACGTTAACTTTGACAATGACAGAATGCACCTATCCCCTAATGACAAACATGCTGGACACAAACTTGTAGTTAAAGCTTACAATGGTCCAAGTTTGGCACATCAACAGAACTAAAGCACCTGTTTTAATTGCTCATTGAGGAAATTTTTCAGAAGACAATAAAAAAGTAGTAGAACAAAGACTAGGTTATACAATGCTCAGTTGAGTAAAAAAAGGCAACTACGTTTCAACTCTGCTTCTAACAGTCTAGGTCACTGTACCAGTTTTTGATGAAAAAATAACTTAACTGCTTGAGCAGACCAAAGAGGGCTTCACACATTCAGCATTAACTGCATAACTAATAGCACATTATAGCCCTAACGTGACCGTTTCCTTAGTGCCAGAACTTGATAAACTTTAGCAACTGCACAGGAAGCTAGTTTTTGGACACCTCTGTTGTCAAGGGTCAATGCTTACAGACTTTAAGGAACTATCCTCAGAATTACAGTAGAAATGGAAGTCACCTTTAGAAGCAGTCATTTCTGAACAAATGAATCCACAAAGAGGTTACTCAAAACTCATGCATTCAGCTTCCACAAGCCACTTAAGTGATAGCGATGAGGCCAATTTGTGACGATGATTTCAACTCCAGAGTGTACTTCCTCATCAGAAACAGAGAAAGGTGCAGACAGTTTGAGCTAACAAAGGGAAGTTAAGTGAGGAAAGACACTGTGTTTATTCAAATAACTGAAAGGTGCATCTGTGAATCAGACAGTGACTGGCAACTCAGAACACAGCTTTGCTAAGTCTGGTAAAGAAAAAAAAGCAACATAACTACATTCAGAATAGAAGCCATAGCTTCTGCATGAACAGATTTGTGCATCTAAGAGACAAAACCCATACAAATTGTTAAATGCCAATTGCTACAGTAATTCTCATCACTAGAGTGTCAACATCCATACTGCAGTCATGGCCACAAGTATACAGCATAGAAAATAATGAAGTGAGAATTTTTCCCCTGGCTCTTCTGCTTGAAATAAATGTTTAAAAAGAGAAAGAAAAACGTGCACAAATCTGTTAAGAATCTTACTTACAAGTCAAACTGTGCAAATACAAATGTAAGATTGTGCTGTAACAGGCAGTAAGAGGCCAATATGGATGTGCAAAGTTAAAAGAAACATAGCAGCTTTTGCAACAGGCAATAAAACAGAAAGTAAAAAAGGAAAACAAGTTAACTCTTGCATTTGTGTCTCCACTTCATAGCTTCCATATCTGAGAAAGGAGAGCCTGACAGGTCAATAGGCTTAGTGAGCAAAATCCACTTGGTATTTTGTGTATCGCAGTCTACGTTCAATGGAGCTCTCAGCAGCAGCTTGGTGGTATTATTTCTGAGGCTTTGTGACCCTGTGCTTTCAAAGAAGCAGAAAAGGTTCTAAGTGTGCTGCAGTCTATCATTATAAGTTCATCAAAGTAGCGTGCATCGAAAGAAGCTGCTCTTCTTAGATCGATTTTCTGTTATTTTTACTGGCCCACCTGCCCCTGATGAACTGTTGTCATTCTGAAAGAGAAAAGAGTATCAACATCATAAAATGCAGAAAAAAAATAAGTCTAGCTTTCCTAGTTTCCCTCCCCGCTTCCCCCCTTGCAAGGTAATAACCAGAGCAGAGGTTTGTTGCAACTTGAGCTCCTCAATTATCCAGACTCTGTTAATCACTCAGTAAAACTGCCTATTTTAAAAAGAAACATTTATCCAACAATCCAGATCTCAAGTATTAGCTGAAGGAGTGACTACGTAATTTGACATTTAATAAAGCAAGGATCACACTGTTACATTTCAAGAGAACACATCAGTTTCAGGCTGCCCAATGTTAATGTTCATGCAAAATAAAGAAAAATTACACGCTGATGTGTAATAATGCGTGATAAAGCACTGTTTGCTCAAATTTGGTCTAGCATCCACTGTAATCCCCAGGAGTTTTTTGGTAGGGCTACTACTCAGCCAATTATTATAGCCATCATTTCAATGTATCTAGTTTGTATGCCAATTGGAAATACAAACCATTTTTCTGTTGAGCTTTGTCATAATGTCCCGTGCAAGTGTGAAAAATGCCTGGTGAGGAGCAGAAATAAAAAAAAAAAAAAAGAGTTAGTTACAAGACACATTAAAGACAAGATAGATTTGGAATAGCCAGACACATTAATAATACAGTATTCTGTAGGGCACTGCTAGCACTTCAAGTTGCAGGGCACTATGTACAATAGCTGTTTACTTAAAACTGCAATAAGCACGCTTTAGAAGGAAAAACTATTTATTTTTAGTCTCCATCCCTCCAATCTTTGATGCAAGTGAACAGATTTTCCCATCGCATACCTCGGGGGGGGGGGCGGGGGGGGACGCAGAAATCTGCTGAAGAGAAGGCTGCATACACTAATACTTTTTTTTTTTGCCAAACTGTACTGTGCATCGCAACTAGAAACCCACAGAGAGGTTTGAGGATGGCATGCCTGGGAATTCACAATAAGGTTAGCTTGCCTTCTGTCCTCCAAAAGTTTTGCTCCTGGGCTATCTATAATGTTATTTATGCTTCCAACATCCCTATTTAAAAAAAAAAATAAAAAAAAAAATCACTCTGCCAAATCTCAGCATCTCAGACTTCAATGTATGGAAGGAGCAAAGAAACTTTTGTAGCAGAAAAATTCTGCAATTCTCCAGAAGCAGGGAAAAGCAAGATTTTAGGCTATCTGGAGATATCAACAATGCAAGGACAGTTCCAGAATGTAAAAAACTGTAAACATTTCCCCTCTCATTGTGTTCAGAATATATCCAAGGACAGGGACGCTCATTTAATGCAAATAAATCACAACAAATAAATTAATTCACTTCTGATCACAAGAATATCACAACTGTGTCATTTCCCACAAGTTAAGCATTTGGTGGAAAGAAGACGAAATCGTTACTTGCTGAATGCCTATACCAGCTGCATTTTTTAATGCTTTCTTCACTACTCGTGACAATTTTAAAAAATATTCAGATAGCCAAGCCATTTAGAGTAAGCACAAACTAATGTTGTACATTTAGTGACCTACAGGAGTCAAAATGAAATTGCAGGGCATGTCATGAAAGAGCAAGTCAACCATCTGTAGGAACTAATGAAGAAGATGGGTATTTTTTGTTAGGAGACTATAGCAGCTAATACCAATGGTGGATAGCAAATGTTCACACTTCCATTGTCTGCTGTGAGAATCATAATGACACTGTGAAAATCAGGCCAAGCACTATTCCAGATGCAGCACAATGCAAGTAAGTCCATTCTAACTATATTGTATAACAAACATCCTGCAACCAGAAAAAAATGCTCGGCTGGCATGGCATTCAGTCACGTTATTTTAAAGCAACAATCTCTTTAGCTCCTAGTTAATGTTAGCTGCATGATCTGAATTAAGTACATGTTTGGAGGACTTTTAAAAGGTATCCCATCGATACATATGGAAAGGCTTTTAGATGATTAGATACAGGAACAACATTTAAGAACAAGTCTGCCTTATCTGAATGAATGAATCTTAATGTAACTGCCTTTTGATATCATATTATTTTCTTGTCCATGATTTTCATAGAGTTAAGATACTCCCCCCACCCTCCCTGAAATGACAAGAGTGATTCAGGGTAAGATAGACTGGAGTTGAGCCACTCTTCCTTCCACTTCTATTTCCTTATGCTCTCACAAATAGGGATCTTGTGTTTTTAGCACAAAATTTATTTGCAGGAAAACAGATTGCAAGTCTATAGATAGAGTATTATAAGCCGCCTCCCTCCTCTAACATCAGCTTATGACAGTCTATGCTGATGTTCCAGGTTACATAAAAATTTTCAGTCTCATCTGCATAGCACATATTTAGTAGTAACCTAACGGCTCCTTGACACAGTAGCACATGATTCCGAAAGTAAAGAATCTTGAATCCAATTTCCTGCACAAAGCATTGTTCTAAAATTACACGTATTCCCTGTCCAAAAGCACTTGTGATTTAAGTAGCAAGGCACAGAAATCTAAAGCAACTGTTTGCTACAACAATAGTAAACCCATTTAAAAAAACAATTCCAGACATTACCAGAAAACAAAGATATGCTGGATTTTACAGTAGCTCTGCCCAGTAGATCATGAAACACACCTCCATGTTAGTAGTTCAAGAAATATACCTAAGTTTAACACCCATCTCTTACCTCTTCCACATTTATGCTGGATTTTGCACTTGTCTCCAAAAATTTGATTCCATAATCAATTGCTAACTGGAAGAGAGGTTAAAGTTTTTCAGTGTTTTTGAAGTTCCTTTTTAAAAGGAATGTTTCACATAGGTTCATAATAGCACAGGTGCTGTATGCTGCAAGCAAGCTTTAAAAACAAAACCAAACAAGCTTCATTTCTGCTTTTCTCTTGCAAAAACATTAAAGTTACTGGACAATTAGACAAAATATTAGAACAGGCCATACCCTCATTTAAATTCAAAACACACAAAGATTAATTGCTCACAAAAAGACTTATTTAGGACCTAAAAGAACATCAAGATAGAATCTTCATTGATATGGATTTATGGACCAGATAACTACATATAATCATTCCATAAGTTGTGTTACTAGCAACTGCACTACTTTAGCTGTGTACATGATAGATTATATAGTATTCTTACTTGCTTGTTTGCTCTGCAGAACAACTGACTACTTAAGCTTTAATAACAGTACTTATGACAAGAGTAAGTAACCACCATGGTGAATTGAGTGCAACATGATGAAACTATATACAAAGCCTTATATTGAGATTTAGAATTCTTCATGCTATAGCAAAGGTCAACATTCTTTACAGGATCTTCCCCTCAAGCCAACAGTACCATTAAGTTTATTCAAACTTGAAGACAGTCAAGCACTATTTAGAGACAAAAAAAACAAACCTGGCATCCTATAATATATGAAAGTTTCTGAAACAAGAGGTTTGAGGCCCATTATCTCTCATATGCCTAAAAAATACCAAATATCTAGCAGACAAAATCCTAAGAAAAGTAGGCTTTTAAATAAGGTAAGTCACCAAAACTTACCTTCTCCCCTTTTTCTTTTGAGACTTGTCTTTTTTCATTCATATCACATTTATTACCCAGGATCATTCTTTCTACATCTGAAGAGGCATGCTGAAAGAAGAAAAAGTAACCTCTCAGAAACAAAGTGCATCATTATTTAAAAGAAACTTATGTGTCAAACTCATCCACAAATAAGTATTTTATTTTTAAAAAGTTATCTAATGTGAAGACATTATTGAGAAAGAGACTGACTTTTGAAACAGGCAATTTAATATTTAAATATTAAAACAGGTTGGAATAAATACTCCTAGATTAAATTTGCCCGAGTATTAGTACAGATCAAACACAGCACCATGAGCTCTGTACCAGGTTGCGCACATGCATTTGGCTATTCTGGAAATATAACGGTACACACTTTACTTCAAAGTGGTGCATGGACATCTGGGGTATTTGGTTGGAGTATCATTATGCGATACATTTGCATTTTTAAAATAGATTATTAATAAAAGACTTTTTAAGTACTAATCACTTCGGCAGGAGAACTTCAACAAGAGAACTTTTCTAGCCCAGTCACTATTGAATCAAATTGATCACTAATACAGGAATTTTGCTTAAGAGGCAAAGAACAATACTAAAGAAAAGCCCATGGATTTTATGTTTAAGGGGGAAAAAAAAAAAAGTAAGATTCTGTTACCTAACTACAGCTTCACTAAAATTAAGATTTCTCCTCTAACTTCATAATGACCTATCCCTACTTGACAGCATGTCCCATTAAATAACTTACAGTAAGTTAGCAGGAAGGAAGCTTACCCAAGACCAAATGAAAAGGTCAAAAATCTCTAATCGGGCAAACATACGACACAATAACAACTGAAATTAGACAGATTTGTCATCATCTCAGTGAAAGGTAGATACCCTAAGATCTTGCTCCTTCCCATTCCTTAGACACACCCAAAAGCAAAAAAGAACAATAAAAGTCATATAGTAAGAACAGTTTTGAAACACTTTATGCTTACTTTTGAAACTTAAGTTTTCTACCTTCTATCCCTAGATGAATGTCCTGGTTTTGGCAGGACAATGAACAATATAATATTCTCCCCATTAATAACCACTGCTGCATTCACTGCACAGTCTAACTTAGCCATATATGTTGGCTACTATAACGAAAATGAATAATTACTTGATTATTATTTGTCCCAGGGAAGTCATAAGATGTCACGAGTAAGAAGTACTTTCCAAAGCACCTACCTCCTCTATGTTTCTTATTCAGTTTTTTATGTTGTCAAAAGACTTTTCATTTGTGATGTCATATACCAACATAATTCCCTAAATAAAATTAAGAAAATCTAGTTAGATGAGCTAGCACTATTGGTTGACTTTTGATGTATGCTGTTGGTTTGATTATACTTGCAAGAAATTTAACATACGACTTATGCACCTATAATCCTTTTTCAAAGCATTACGCCGTTGCTGAGAATTTACCCAAAATATTACTACTTAACATCTTTTGCCACTGTTAGAGGTCAAACACACCACCTATATGAAGTTTTAAATTCTTAGTCTATAGTCAGGAAATGTTTAGAAATTCTACTACAACAGCAACCAGGACTCTATTGTTAAAGTCAAGTTTAGAAGCAGCAGCTTTACGCAGTCAAAGATGACAAACCTGTGAGATCCAATCTGCTGGGGCCAGTAGATACTTACAGCAAAGCTAACGCTAGGTGCTCTCCCCAAAGCTTTACCTCTTTCAGACAGTTATGTACATATACTAGCATGGGCTCTCAACAATTAGCAAAGCATGGGAAACCACACAACAGCTGCATTAAGGACGGATTGCTAGGTTCACCTCCATTCCTTATTGCCTTTCCAATCATTCCTCATAGGACAAAGACAAGTCCTTGGCCATGGACTGCAAGGTGGGGAGAAGACCATGTCACTGCCAAAACCTTTTTAAGTACTAGAAAGCTCTAACACAGAGCCACAACCATTACTATTTTTCTCCATCTGTATTCCGTAACAGTGAAGTTATTTGGACCCACAGCCAGCCTATGAATGGAACGGATCTGTTCATACAGAGCAATAAGAACATGTAGTAGCAGCATAGCTAGTAATCAGCAAGTTGAAATTAACAGTGTCCCAACATAAAGTATCTCAAATCACAGCATTAAGAACCACCACAAGCAGTTGTACCACAAAGAGTGCAGGCTCGAAGTCAGTTATTTGACTTCAAGTCATTCTTAATGGAGGAAAAGTAACAGTAGCTTTTGTAGGTGATTGTATATCTAGCCCAGATTTTGCATTCTCTACTGGCTGAAGGAAAAGCAATTCAGTGAAATACACTTTTAATATTAAAATAATTCATTACCTATTTTTCAAACATTTCAAATGTTTAAAGGGATTGATTGCCTTGTCTGATTAAAGCTTGGCAACTTAGCTTATTGTAATCTGCAGAAATTTTAATTATATTAAAAAAGACAATAGGGCTTGAAGTTTCATCACAAAAACAGGACTAGACAAAGTACCAGCAGGTTTAAAAAAGAACAAAGAACCACAAAACAAAAAAAAACCCCAACCAAACCACAAACTTTATTCCCCACATCTCAAGCCACAATTATCCAATCCTCCAGTTGAAGACTTACGTGATATAACCTTAAGAACAGCAAACCATTTACACTAGTTGTGCCTAATTTTTCTGAAGTGAGAGCACTCACCATGGCTCCTCTGTAGTAAGCTGTTGTGATTGTGCGGAATCTCTCCTGGCCTGCTGTATCCCTAAAATTCAGTGAAAACAAGTACTTGTTGGAGGTGATCTTTATACTCCTCTGTACTTAGAGATGTCTTTTTAAACAGAGTAACAATGTATTGATACTCATTATGAAAAAATACCATTTAGAAGCTGTTTGCACAAGTTTCTTCAGCCCTCAACATCTTCCTCGCTCCCAAGCTATCCTACTTACATCAATGGTTATAGCAGCACCATAACTACGGCACAAAAGCATTTAAATTTTCATGCAAGCAATAAAACTCAGCATTACACAGCCTTCCCTAGAATAATTAAAAAAAGGCAGCTCTGATGCATCCGAGTCCTGCATTAAACAAAAATTAAGACATGCAGCAGTAAAATATTTTAGGATAGTGCATTTTCACGTACCGTTAGCTATTAAAATCAGCCACTATACCTTAGTGTGCTGATATTTTATCCTAGATGACTTCAAAGCAGTATCTGTCTGTGAGTGAACAAGAGGACCAAAGTGTTTGGCTACTAGTCACACCTAGGGGGAGCTGAACCCCAAAGGCCTGACAAAAACAGCTTTTTGACTTCTATTACAGACAGAAAATTTGTACCCACCACTTCTGGCACTTTACTTCCTTAGTCACAAGAATTCTGGCTTGCATGCAAGTATCACAACTGTCTTTTCTAGAACTTGAGAAGTCAGCAAGAGCCCTACAATCACCAGTAGCATTTAAAGAGTTTGGCATGTGTAATAATGCTACTCCAAAAATACCCATCTGCTGCTATCAGGAGGCTCAGTCTCTACTAACCCACCATGGAAGGAATGGGAGCATTATCACTCACCTGTGCCTCTGCGAGTACAACTGGGTATCAAAGTATCAGAGGAGATTACATTTTATTAGGTCACATATTTTAGTTTACAGCTGTGGAGTTAATACTTCCCCTCCACATGGAATAGCTAAAAGCGCATTGAAGAGGACAGCTTTTGATAAAATGGGAAGTTGCTGTAACGTTCGCATGTGAACAGGCTATTTCCTGTGCTACTGAAGCAGAACCACTCCAAGAGCAAGCTAGAAGAAAGCATAAACCTTATGGACAGTCAATGAATAAAAGGTATGAAACTTCTGGTACACCCAGGCTCAAAAGCTATGAAGTATTCCTGCTTAAAGATTAATTCAATACTCACTGAAAACTTAAATTACTTTGGAATACTTACCATATTTGTAGCTTGATTTTCTTTCCATCTAATTCTATTGTTCTGATCTTAAAGTCGATTCCTGCCAGAGAAAGAGATACTCTAAGTTTTGCAAGAAATGAAAAGGAAGTGTTCAGTTTCCTTTTGACAATTTGGTAAGAGCAAACTTAGGCAGAAGAATTATTCTGAAGTTGTCATTTCTTCCAAACACTAGGAAGTGCTGAGGACGCACAAAGGTTTTCAGCTGCATCTGACACGTCAAGGGTAAGTTACTCTGCACAATGAAAATAGACCAGACTCATTGCTAGAGTTAGTCAAGATTATGAGAGGAAGATTTATTCTCAAAATTCTTCCATTTTACACTGATAAGGTCACTAGTTTGAATGTGTATTTTTCTCAACTTTTGACTAGCCCCTGCAGTTCAAGTCAATTCCCTAGAACCTCTGCTGGCTCTGAGGAAAAAAATACATACTATGACCCCTCAGTTCCTTTTCAAAACTGGCATCTACTTTTGAAAACTGATGTTTAATGCAATCTAATCAGACATCACAGTAAATAGTAAAGCATCAGAGGAGATAACAGCTATACAGGTAGTTACTGAAGGTGGCTGAAGTAGATCATGCATGGGACTTTTTCAAGAACATCAGTTTAGGAGTAACCTAGATTTTCTAGGAAGCTCCAAAAGGTATCAAGAAAACACTTCTCTCCTTTCCTCCCCTTACGCTGCCACATGGTACCCATCACTTTTGAGACTGATTTTGAAGACAGATTTTAAGCCATGGGTGGAAAAAAAAAAATGAACTAATTCAGAAGGGCTTAATAATATATTTTAAGGTTTAGAGGGATCAAATGGATCTATGAATCAAAGCCGAGATTTCTAAACAGACTAGCCTTTACCCTGAACTATTTCAACTTTCGCATCTCCAAACCTATACTATAACATAGCTCAAATTGAGACTGCTCAAGTCCCACTATGTGACTGCCAGATTTTTTTGAATCTCAGGACAGCCACCCCCATGTACCCCCCAATTAATCTGTTTCAAAACTACTGGCCCATTTTTTTTTTTTATGATTCTTAAAATAGTTACTTGATATTTAGTCATGGTTTGTAAAAGATTGGGGGGGGGCGGGGTAGGTTATTTTATTTATTTAATTTCTTCTTTCCTCAGATGTCATTTAAGTGACAATTATCAAGAGTATCTTAATTGGGAAAATGCTGTTTCTAGCTTTAAGAATTCATCCATCACTTAAACAGGAAGCTACAGGATTTTTTAATATACTAAGTAGTATTTGAATATGAAATATGGACATTCATTAAGTATTTGACTTTCATTCTTCTCGGATGCAATATTAATATTTTAATATACTGAAAATACCAAATTTCAGCCACTTAATCTTGATGTGCTATGGATACGTAGTTTAGCCCATTAGTTAGAATACAAATTATGAGCAGAAATACCACATCAGCACTTTTAACAGAATATGAAACCAATTGCATTAATTTACAATGCTATGACTACTGCTACAATTGCAATTTCCCAAGATTCACTAGGCAAAAAGATACTTCCATTAATTTGCATTCTTTTAAAAATGACATAAGAATGATGTGTACTTTAAAAAAGTCTGTATTATATGTAACAGAAGTTAGGCAAGTGTTTCCATTTTACATTTGATAGGATTTTGTGTCTCCCTTGTTGTAAAGATTTTTCTCCTAACTAGGTGCAACACCTGCTGAAATCTCAGGTAATTGCATTCAGGTCTGAAAACAAGTGACCTTTGCTCTGAACAGATTTTCTTTTGGCCTCAAAGGTTATAAAGCACAAACACAGATTTTTCTGGAAAGAGTATTGTATCATGGACAACAGCAAATTAAATAACTTTTAAAAGCTCCTTTTTGTCTAGGCCTGAAGTCTTAGAATTAAGTGTAACAAGTATCGGGAAAACTAGGTTCAGAGACTACTGTGGTTTAAAGATAATTCTGTATGTACTGTCAACTACTGAAGCTAAGACACATCAGCATAAACAGTGAAAGACTCCTGTAGGGATGGTTTTCTGAGAAGCAAGCTTACACTGCAGTTAGATATCTATGTGCACCAATCCATGCCTTGCACAGACTGGTTTCTTGTGGTTAGTCGTTTCGCTCGCAGCACCAAAATGATTTATACCACCACTGCTTTGATCACTTCTAAAACTCAGGATCTGCACAAAAAATATCTTCTTAGAACTTAAGATTTCTAGTAGGAACTTCACCAAAATTCTCAAGTAAAGATGAATTTCAAAGCTAAAAGAATATAAATGGGAAGGTCATAAATACCTCTGTTATGATACTAACAAGTTTAACAAATGCAACTGCAACTTTTTAGAGGCTAAAATGAACTAGAAACTGGCGTTTCTTTTGTTCTTTCACTTCAGTAACAGGAAGTGGTGAGCTGCAAACATTCGCAGAGCAAGCCTGGTGACATGTGCTGCCACTTCCTGCCAAGTACACTTGCATGGCTAAGTACAAGGAATGTTTTGGTTACAGTTAAATTTAAATTATGCCATGTAAAACACTCCAATGACTATAGCATTTCAAAAGTAATTATTCACGGAAAGTTTCCTTTATCAATGAGTTCTTATTTTGCACAGCCACACTGGGATACAAAAGTTTGAAGAGATACTTGCGTCTAATAAAGAAGAATCATTCGTGAATCAGAAAGTTTGATTGCAAAGGATCACACAGCTTTCACAGTTTTAAAATGCAACGTGCAATGCTGTTCTCTCCAGAAGGGAGAAAAAGCCCAGAAACATTTGGATGACCATCTGAAGTTAAGTTTTAGAAGCTTTTAGAAAACACAGACCCAGATTAATTCTTAGAATGCAAAGGTTAACAGGATAATTATTTTTAATTGCTAAAGCAGAGTTGCCACACAAAAGTCTGACACACTGGTGTCCACCTAGCAAATCAGTACATATTAGATATGGATACAAGAGCATCTATTGCAGGAATCACAAACTTGCAGTCTGCAAGGATGAAGTCCAAGCTGAGACCCGAACTGTGCATTGGTTAGGACTGTAATTGCTTGCATTTCCCTTGCAGCATGGGGTAAAAGTAGCTGAGGGCTTATTGTTCTTCAAAATCCTTTTCAGATCCTTGCTAACTTGCCTATGCCAGGGATGCATCCTCTCTCCTCACTTTACTGAGGGTATTTTCTCCCATAGCTTCCAACAAAACTCTCTCAAAGAATACACTGAGCAGAGAAATCTGCACGCTAAGAAAAAGTCAGTGTCATTAGTGCCACACAAAGACTTACACAAAAAACCGCGAGAGTTGCGTGTTGCCGTATTTACCTTGTATCACCATACAAAGCTAGTAAAATTCACCAGCTAGGGTAATACCATTGTCCACCACCACGTAGCCAATTATCCACCAGGGATTATCCGCCACCAGGGAGACTGGCCTCACCTAGGCCTCTTTTGGTTTAAGCCAAGAAGTCACGTTCATCTCTCACACTGAAAGCTCTTCTGCCACTGCTACTACTTCTTCTACCACTCGGCTCCCTAGTTACACATTCCTTCTTATTCCAGCCAACCTAGGCAGATTTTACCCATAATGAAGCTGTAATGCAATCGTTTTAAAGAGATTGGGAAATGTTTCAGAGAGCTGCATTACAATACTAAATATACAGGACTGCTCAGCAGTACATATTGAGAGGTTCCTTTTCCAGCTTTAGTACCAAAGGTTTTCTACTATGAACCTTAACAAAACTAGTTGGAGGCAATTCTTACAGGAATGTAAGCAGAGATGCTGAAACAGTTCATTTTGCTACTTTAGGTTTTAGAACAGTAGCTTACTCTCAAGGCATCAATCACCATTACTCTTTTGTTCTCCCCTCACCCGTGATTTTAACCCTGTAGTCATCAGAGCTAGTATCTCAGGTTTTTCAGTGCTACAGAATCAGTTTCAGCTAGGTCTCCACCACAACTTTTCCCTACACAGTACCACTGTTTGGACTTACAGATTGTCTTGTTTCTCTTTTAAACAGGATTAAACTGCATTTCTTGTTACTCTTTTAAACAAAATTTCTGTTGCAGAAAATGCTACAGCACAAAGAAACCAAAGAAACCAAACCAAAGTATTCTGGCTGGAGTAAAAAAACTATTGCAATAGTACCAGCAAACACTTCCTGCAGGTAAAGGTTGTTCTGGTCTTCAGCCTGCCTAGCAAGAAGGTACTGGAAGGGCCATGTTCTTGAATAATATAAATAATGAAAGACAGACAGAAAAGAAACACGTACAAATTAATGTAAAAAAAAAAAAACAAACACTTAGAAACCACTGGCAAGCAAATATTAGAATTCCTAATATTTACCTGTATTACACAGTTAACCAGTATTTTAAGTTAATTTTTCATGTAGCTCAGCATTACTTTGCAGCAGCTGGACCTTACATGTGAGAAAGCTGTATGATTAGATGACAATTCCTGTTGATTTTAACTCAAGTTGATTTAATAGGTTTCGCATTTCACTAAGTTCATAGAGTCTGTATATTTAATAGCATTTTTCTGGTGCAGCTGTAGCAAGAATCAGCCTGGAACTCAGCCCCTTTCAGGATGCAAGTAAATGTCAATCTCTGATAGCATACACTAGCCTGTGTGTCTACCACAGTAGAGTATTTCTCCACCTCTGGCAAAGCAATACTTTATTAAAAAAAATAAAATAAAATTAGTACTCAATGTACTAGCATTTTAAATGGTTTAGTTGTTTTTTGTTTGTTTGTTTTAATTTTACAAGCCAAGGGAATTTTAAAAAGTGATTAAACACCAAAAAATTGGCAAAGCAGCTGCTAAAAAACTAATGCCTGATTTGCTTGCTAGAAAGAGTCTCATTTTTGACCCATCTATCAAAGAATGTAAAAGATGCACCACAGTATCAGATCTTGCTTATCAAACTAAAAATTAGGAGATCTGTTTTGCATGACCTGCACGTAATAAAAAACCCCACCCTCTTAAAGAAGTTATCTTCCTACTTATCTAGATCTTACCTTTTGAAGTAAGAATGGAAGAAGTAAAATTAAATGGAAATAAAAGATATTTCCA